GGAAAAATACATAAAACCTCAAAATATCTTTATTAAAAGTTAAAAATATAAAAAAATGTAAAAGAAATGCAGTTAAAACGATAAAAAAAAACAAATTTGACAATTCAAATTAAGAGTTTCTAAGCAAAAATAAGCAACTCGGCCAGCGGGTAAGAAGGCAAATTTTTCGGTGCACAAACTGAAAGTTTACTTTTGGTACCACTCGGCAGAAAGACGTTAAAGGTGCAGAAAATGAATTCACTATTCTGCTAAGTTTCAAATGTAAATAAATATGGCTGCTATGGTAAATAAATTAGGCTTAGCCGTACTTAAACACCTTTTAAATTGTTGATAATTCAACTGTAACGTGCAGCTTATCTAAAGGCATAAAAAAACCTTAACCGGAAGATAAGAACAACATAATTCAATCATGTTGAAAGCAAAATATGCACAATTTACCAACATATAAGAATTAAAAAATTGAGCTCACAGTGCCGAGCAACACCCCTCTGTTTTATATATATACTTGTGGTGCAGCTGATTGCAACCGAAAAGGGAGGTGCAGAACTATATCTTATAGCAGTCCTATGCACAAAATTTCAACTTTCTGAGGCTACTCGTTTTTGCGTTACGCGAGATACATACATATATACATACGTATAGACGTACGTATATACGTATACATACGTATAGACGTCACGAAAAAATTCTCTTTTGAATCCATTTTAAAGCCTTTTTGTAACCAGTTTTGGGATATAGAGTCCTATATTCTGTCTTTACGTACAGATGTCACGCAAAAACATTGTTCAAATGTATTCGATAGCGGTCAGAATGGATATTTTCGTTGAAAAATGATGCCGGAAAATTTTTGCGGTTACAATACTTCCTTTACTTAAAACAAGGAAGTAAAAACATAAATCTGAAATACGTTTTTTGGAAGTTTATGAAATTTATTATAATTCTCTTATTAATATAGTCCTCTATTTTATTTTATTTTATCTTTAATATTTGCAGCATGTTCTTTTTACATCCTATTTTGCTAGCTTAACAATTTAGCCATATCAAGTTTATAAACATAATATCTCTATATCATATTTAGGGAGAGAAAAAGGTATATATATATATAGAGAGAGAGAGAGATCGAAAACTTAATATACTAAGAACAAGAAACAAAATGATATCATTGTCTGCACTTTTGATCTAGCTTTGGAGTAATCCCATTTGATGAAATAAGGCAATAGAAAACTTTTACTTCCTTTGCTAGGAGATTTTGGCCTTCAACCCACCTGCGATAATTTTGGTATGTTCATAATTATTATTTCATTTCTTTCCTTTACTTTCATTCGGAGGTCTTTGAGGAATATAAAAAATATAATACTGATATTAGTAAACAACAACAAAACAATTCATATAGCAAATATTTTGTTAACAAACTTGTTGCTATGGAGAAATAAAAAAAGTATTTTCATTGCAACACGATTTAGATATATGACCAATTACACAAGTAACTTCTATATAACACGGTTCATTAGGTTCTAAAAGTACTTCATTTTGTATTGATTCTTCGCTATATAATAGCAAAAATTAATACAATAAATTTGGTAGATTCCAAGAGCTAAAAATATAGAGAGAGATTATTTTCATCTTGTAGTTACGGGAAATATGCTCGTTAAATTAATAATTGATTAGAAATATCAGATATTAACACTACATAATGTTTTCTTCATCATAAGTACTAATCATTATCAAACAAGGGCTTTTTCTCTTTGGCAAAATATTCTCATTCTCAGAATTTTCTTCAGCAGCATTTTGACTTCTCAACTATACTTTTGGCAAAATGTCTGTTGCTTTTAATTCGTTCCTCAACTGAGAAATCTTACTAATAAATTCCTTGCATGGAAATAAGCAAATATGAAGTTTTGTTTTAAATTTCCCTTCCTTTCAATTAAATGAATAGTAGAAATTTTATAACTCTGATTTTTGGAGTAAGAGAAAAGCAGTTTGCTGTTTCTTCTTTATTTCCCTGGCCTTTTTAATTTTTCCCTGACGACGATTTTTTAAAATGCTTTTATATCTTGCTTCTTTCAAGATACGATTCCTTTAATATATTTTAATACGTTTGGGAGCGGCTTTTATATTATTTCAGCTCGTAAATTATTTTAAAGATCTTACGTGTTATGAAATTTGTTTTAATTCATCGATTCCCTTTTTTACTTCCTTGTACGAAGTAAAAAGGAAGTATTGTAATCGCAAAAAGTTTCAGGCAGCATATTTCAACGAAAATATCCATTTTGACCGCTATCGGATGCAATTTAACGATGTTTTTGCGTGATATCTGTACGTAAGGACAGAAGAAAACGCTTTCTTCCTCAAAAAAATTATAAAACTTTTTTAAAATGAATTCTGAAGAGAATTTTTCGTGGCGTCTGTACGAACCTACGTACGTACGTACGTATCTCGCATAACTCAACATCGAGTCCTCAGACGTTGAAATTTTGTATATAGGACTGCTGAACGCTGCTCAAGTGGACTGCCGCCTTAACTTAATAAGCCTTACGGTATTTGTTTCCACTTGGCAGATGCTGTCTAATCATGATTCGCTGATCCGACAGCATTATTATTTCAAAATCATAACATGTAGATGTGCACCTCGTATTTTTGGTTGCAATCGGGCACCAAACGTATATAAGTATATTTATATCCCTCTGTTACCCGGCTCAGTGATCTCAGTTTCTTTACTCTTATATGTTTGTAAATTGTACATTTTTTGCTTTAAAAAGGATTGAATTATATTGCTCTTATCTTCCGGTTAAGGTTTTTGTTCCTTTAGTAAATCTGTATGCAATATGTTTAGAATTATCAACAATTTTAAAGTTGTTTAAGTGCCGCTAAGCCTAATATTTTGTTTGATGGCGGCCATTGCTTGTTTACATTTGAAACAGCAGGATAGTGCATTTGTTGCCAATCTAGAGAAACTTAGCTATGCAACAAAAAAGATAACGCCTTCATTTATTATTGCGAATTAAATCATGCTTAATCCTGTCTGAAATGTTTTCGAAGAAATAGTGTTTAAATTTAATCGTAATTTTTAATACAGATATTTTGAGTTTTTTGTATTTTGCCTTGTCGCGAAGTGAGATCTGAATTAATTGAATGAGAAATACTCAGTCGTCTGTGAAAAACTGTTTCCTTTTTGTTTTGTTTGCTTAATGTCTTTTATACATCGTTCTAGCTTTATTACAGTATTATTATAGTATTTGAATAGAAAAAGTGGCAACGATTAGATAATTATTTAAATGATATAAATGTTTTGCATTCTGAGTTATAATATGAACGAACTATAATACTATAATACTGTTAAGTGAACTATAATACTGTTAAGTGAACCTAGCGCCAGAGTGTCGATATGGTAAACAAAAAGAGTGAATTTTAAAGAATGCATATATTCTATTGTGGTTTATGCGTTGTCGGCGAAGTAGATTTAATTCAATCCAATAAGTTTAAGTGAAATGCAAGAAAAAAGGCGTATAATTTAATATTCACAGCAGATATTTTTGTATAATAAAAGCCCGTAACGGAGACTTTTAAGCCAATTATTTTCTACAGAAAGTAGGTTTATTTTAGATGAATTTGACCCGTATTTCCGATTTTTGAAAATAATTTCATCTTCAATTCTGTTTCCCAAAATTAAGCATGTTTAAGGTAAAGTAATAATTAGCTTTAAAACTTTCAATAACTATGAATAAAATCTAAGAACTGTACTCATATTACAGCGAAGTCAACAAATGAACATTTTCACAAATTATCTTCGTTTGTATAAATATCATCGTTAGTGGTTGATAAGTTATTAAAAATATATTATGACAGTTTTAATAATAAATTTTGGAGTTTTTTAATGTAATACTTGTAAGTCAATAGAGTGTATTTTAAGTCACAAGCATACTTTTTCAATTTTCCAAAGTTTGTTTTATTGAAGTATTTTTTAGCTTCTGTCTACCTTGAAAAGCAATATTATGAAGGAAAGTGTAATTTTACTTCACGTTTTAACATAAAAGCTACTTTTGCAAACATTTAAATTAAAAATTTATTTTTCGTACTGATGAGCGTGTATAGACATTTCACATTTACTTGTGACTGAATATTAAATCTATGTTAAGACATTAAATCTCTGTACACTGAGAACCATTAATTATTTCTCAGAGTGAATAAGTGTATTAAAATTTAGATTTCCACTACATTAAAAATATTAGTTCCTTAAGTGTTAGCAATTCATGTGCATCTTTATGTAGCATAAATCGAATATTCAAAGAATCCTGCAAAACGATTTTTACTTAAGTAGATGCTAAAACCTTGTTATCTGTCTTCACCTTTAGATCGTTTGCAGTAACTTATTAATAATTCAATAGCTAAAATAAAATGTTACACCTACAATTTCAAAATTATAACTTTGAATATTCGTTCAATATTATAACTATTTTGCCTATACTTTAAGTTTAAAATACCGAATATGTATTGTAGCTCGTATACTTAGAATTTAATAAGTCCAGAACCTTGGTTTTTAACGTTAATATAACATCACATCCGTGATGTTTAGACTTTCAAACTTATAAATCCTTAATCCTTATCGCTAGAACGCTGTAGTGGCTTTGCACATTCACATTTCTATGTGATACTGCAGGATTAGCAGCTAGCAAATTTAATGTTAATGTGAGAGCTTAAAGTTAATATTAAGCAATTAAAACCTCATCGACTCTCAAACCCTGTACCTTGGGCTTTACTTTATTCTCTTTGCAAAATTAAAGATTAATACAATAAAAATCATTGATTAAATATCTTCTTTCAATTGGACTTGTTTCAAATTTAATTAATTTAAATTTACATTAATTATATACATAATCTATCGATCCAGTTGCTTTACTGTGATTACTCTGTATTAGAAATATTAGACACGGTGGCGTGAACGTATATAGTAGGTTATTAACTTTATACTATTTTACATTAATTCACTGTATCATTATTAGATGTCATCTAATGATGATGTCAACTACGAAGCAATTAGCATGATTAATGTTACTTTGACTTTTTTGGTTCAAATGGTTTAACTTATTTCTTCTTTTCCACTGCAAGTCGAATTTACTCATATTTTGCCAAGCTTCTGCAATCACAAATGAAACTGTAATTGTTTTCTGGATTAATTTTATTTTAATTTTTAACACACAATAATCTAAATCATCTCTGAATAAATTAATAACCGCTAGGTCATCATAGTTATTCTATATTGGATTAGAATATTACTAACTTAGTTTTATCTTCTACAAGTCAATTTTTACTTCCTTGTACGAAGTAAAAAGGAAGCATTGTAATCGCGAAAAGTTTCAGACAGCATATTTCAACGAAAATATCCATTTTGACCGCTATCGAATGCAATTTAAGGATGTTTTTGCGTGATATATGTATGCAAGGACAGAACAAAATACTCTTTTTCTCCAAAAAAAATTATAAAACTACTTTAAAATGAATTCTGAAGAGAATTTTTTGTGGCGTCTGTACGAACGTATGTACGTACGTATCTCGCATAACTCAAAAACGAGTAGCCTCAGAACGTCGAAATTTTGTACGAGTATATAGACTGCTATAACATGTATATATAACATTTTGGTTGCAATCGGCTGCACCAAACGTATGTAAATATATTTATATATATATCCACTCTGTTACCCGGCTCAAAATGAGCTGAGTTTCTTTACTTCTTATATGGTTGTAAAATGTGTACATATTTTACCTTAAAAATGATTGAATTACGTTGTTCTTATCTTCCGGTTAAGATTTTTATGCTTTTAGTTAAATCCTGTATGCAATGTTGTAGTTGCAGAATTATCAACAATTTAAAAGTTGTTTAAGTGCGGCTAAACCTAATAATTTTTACCATAATGGCAGCCGTATTGCTGTTTACATTTGAAACTTAGCAGAACAGTGGATTTGATGCCAATCTAGAGAAACTGAGCAACAAGAAAGATAAAGCCATCTTTTTTTATTGCGAGTTAAATCATGCATTAATCCATTCTGGAAATTTTTCGAGGAAATAAGTGTTTTAAGATTTTACTTCGTAAATTTTTAATATAGATATTTTGAGTTTTTATGTATTTTTGCCTTGTCGCGAAGTCAGAACTGAATTAATCGAATGAGAAATACTCAATCGTCTGTGAAAAAATGTTTCCTTTTTGTTTTGTTTGCTTAATTTCTTTTATACATCGTTCTAGCTTTATTATAGTATTTGAATAGAACATGTGGCAACGATTAGATAATTCTATTCTTTAAATGATATAAATTTTGTGCATTCTGAGTTATAATATGAACGAAATATAATAATGTTAAGTGAATCTAGCGCCAGAGTGTCGCTATAGTACTCAAATACTAGAGTGAATTTTAAAGAATGCATTTATTCTATTGTGGTTTATGTGCTTTCGGCGAAGTAGATTTAGTTAAATCCAATAAGTTTAAATGAAATGCAAGAAAAAAAAATGCTTATAATTTAATATTCCGTACAAGGAAGTCATGTGGTGTACACATCAGATTTTTTATAATTTGCAACTTATATTTCCAGAACTTGAACTAGCTGAACATCTGTATAAAGTGTAAGACACGCAGTTTTCAATTAGTTTTTCTTGGAACTTTAATCTAAATACTTCAGTTAGATAGATGTAGTTTTTATAGCACAAAAAATCTCGCAAACACCCTTTCTTATAGCACAATAAATCTCCAACTGTAATATCAATCTTTGTATGCATACGTAGATACTGCATAAGTTTAATTTGCTTTCTTATTTTCACTTTCTCAGAGAAAAAAATAATAATTAGAATGATATTTTACAAACTGAATAAAACAAGAGAAGATGGCGGCTAGCGTTCATATTTTGTAGAAAGTAAATTCTATATTTTGAGTGAAAAATCTCGTATCACTCACTCATCCGCAGAAATCAACTTGAAATATTTTCTGCTATGTGTATATTTATGTTGCAAGACATTTTTAATATTAGTCATTAATTTTATGCTATCTTAAAACAAACTTGTAAATTTCAATCTCTGATTAGAAATATCCCCTTAATGTAACACTGCGTTTCCTTGTTTTTGAACTTATCATACAATCTTATGTAATCTACATAAATTATATTCCATAAAATGATGATACTTATTTTTTTCATATCAGAAATCTCAGATATGAGCTTAAGTATCATATTAGGTTGTTCCATGATAAAATATTATATATTCATTTGCTGATTTATGAAAACTCTAACGAATATATTTTTATTTAGATTCTGAAAGCATAATGATAGTACAACGTGAAAATAATTTTATGCTGCTTAAGGCGCAGATCAACCAAATGAATCATACTAAATATCAGTGGGCATTATGTACTGTTATGTGTCTGTGATCCGATGAAAAGAAAAATCAAATTTTTATGTCTTTGTTCATAATTAGTTTTTGTTTCGCATAACACGTAACGCACTTTCATTAAATATATATTTTTCACTTACAAATGTTTTTACTTGTGTACAGTGATTTTGTGGTGCTTTAATTTTGTGCCTAAGAGCACTAGAACTCCAATTATCCAGTCTAAGTAGGATCATTGCCCATCCAGACAGCTGGTTTGGCCGTTTATATGTAAGCCAAGGAAGTAAATACTACATTTCATGAGACGGAAATTTTTCTTCACCATATTTTATTTCAACAAAAAAAGTGTTGTTTAAAATACTTTTATTTTCGTAAAACAATCATCGGAATTAAACCATAAAATATCTTTCTGGTTTTTTGAACATCAGATCTTTCTTTGGTTCATTTAAAATAAAACCATGAAATTATTTTTAATATATATTAACTTCAAAATTCTTGTATTCTTTCTCGCTAAAATTAAAGAAAAAAAAGAAATTTATTATATAAACCAAAACACATATCTTATTTCTTTCTAACTATAACTAAACAAAGGAGATATTTGTGTTGATGTTATGACGTCTTGTACTCTTGGCAAGTATAAACTAACAAGACGTCAACAGACTGTGGAATTATCTTTAAGTCCTTAAGTACGACAAAGTCCAGAGAAAGGATGTAAATGACCCTTTATTAACTCAATATATTCACAGATGGCACCGACTGCATATTTCACAAGTGCACATCTGTGTAGCCACCGAGGAAGTGGTCTAGGATGGACCAACGGGCATCCAGTAATATTTCTGTCATGTCACATGACCTTTCGCATGCTATAACATTTAAGAAAATGGTTGGAAATATTCTGCCATGCAGTTAGTTTTCTGTACAAAAATAATTAAAACATCGTCGATTTCTTCTGAAACTTTTCATTGCGAAATTAGATCAAATAGTATAAGCAATTGTGAAGATTTCATTACCTGGTTGAAAGAATTTGAAATAAATACAAACAAATGTTGGCTACTCCGCAAAAATAGCCATGTGAAATATTATTTAATAAGTGGTAAATAAGATGAAGGAAAAAATATGTGATAAACATCTGAGCCCAAATGCTATCTTTACATAAAACTATGCACATGAGAAAATATTTATACCAATTAAATATGTAAATAGAAGTCAGGACTTCTTATTGCAGTCTATATGAAAAAGATGTTCTAATAACCAATGCAGAATTGTATTCAAAGTGAACTTTACTAATTTGGATTCGTATACATTTTAGTGTGTTAAATTTCACATTTTAATAACTGCTCGCTCTTACATGTACTGTCTACACAAGAAATACTCATCAAATTGAATGAGTTTTTCTTATTCATAAAGAATATATTTAATTTATTCACATATTAACTTTTACTGTTAATATTGGATATAATCAGATCATACATAATATGTATTCTGAAACTTACACTTTAAAATTTTAAAGAATGCAAGCACTGAAATAAGAAAACACTACATTCATTGTAACACTTCCAGTCCAAAAAAATTATACACTTGAATTTTCTTAATCCACAAATGTTAGTAAATGCATAATATTCGAGGCTAATTGTAGCTTGAGTCATTTTCTCGATGTAAAGAGCGATAATACGCCGTGAACATCAATCCAAATATTAATGCGTGATAAAAATCGCGAAGAAATGTCAGCGATTGCGTGATAAAAATCGTGAAAGTGAAATGTCAGCGATTAATTAAACTCATGAAACGAAAGCACTACGAGATTTTCTACTATTACGCCATGCATTTATAACTGCGAAACAAATACAAATTAAAACGTAAACAAAATACGCTCACAGGCTCGAAGATTTAGCGTTACAAGAGCTATAGAAGCTCATTGATCCGCTTTCGAAACCCCTCCCTCAGTGGCTATGCTGATGTGCACTTGTGAAATATGCGCACCGACTCTTGTTTACAAAAGCCAACACTTTTGGGCTTAATTCAAAAGGTGACAAGTAACTTAAAACAGAATAGAATTAAGTTAGCCTAACGACTTTTCATAGGTTACTTAACATGTGGGCAGGCTGTGACTCGTAAAAGTCGGCGTAAATAAGTGTAACGGCTAGAAGCAATTACGCCACAGAAATCTAATCGCGAGTAAATCAAAAATAACAACGTGGCCTTCAGGCAAGTAGAACACGCTCTCCCCCTTTCTCTCTCTTGCTAAATTTCACCTTCCATTAAGTAAATCCCGATAGTGTAAAATAACAAAATTATATCCCAATCTACATGCTTTACATATTAATCTAAAGCTTATTAAAAAGAGATGCACTGTACATTTTCCTTTGTATCATTTAAATCAAATAAAAAATTAGAAATTTGTTATAAACAAGCATGCTAGATTTTACTTCTGGAAGAAAGAGCAATTACCATATTGCTGGAGTTCTAGACATCTTCGATTCGGATAATTGGAGATCTATTGTAAAATAACAGGGGGAACGGGAAAAAATGTCGCTTTCTTACATTAAATTCACACAAATAAATTTTTAACACGTTTTTATTTTTAATCAATAATGTAATCACCCTCGTTATCAACAACCTTTTGCCATCTAGTACGCAGATTATCAATCTCCGAACCGATATAAATCAATCGGTTTTTGAGTAAAATATATCAAGAAGGCATTTTGGACATC